CCTGAAGTAACAACCAAGCAGTTGTTTGGGGAAAAGTTTAAGGTTCATCAGGTATAAGAATGAACTTGTTAAGCCATGCAGCTCTATTCTCTGGGTGACTGCCTCACCCTCTGTTGCTCATCTCTGGGCTCACTGAAGATGTTACAGCTGGCCACTTTCTTCAAGAGCTTTTTAGGCTCAGGTTAACTGTTGTTTCCAGTTTTATTCCCCAATCTCCCATTTTATCCTGCTTGGCTTCCCCTCTCCAGACAACACGTTGAGACATGGTCTTTAGTTCTTTTTCAAATTGTCCATTCTGTGAAAGAATTTGAGTGCTGATGGATTCTACTGTACCTGCTTGGGGCTCCAGAAAAACCACTCTACCAATGCCAGAAGAGGTGGGAAAAAAAAGAAAATAAGGTCCTGATTTTTTATTTCAAGTCCAAAATATTCTATTGGCTATAACTGTTGCTTTTCAATATGGTCAGTCTTGCTAGAATTCCATGTTTGATCCAAAGTTGGCATTTTAATAACAAAGTTTTGAAGAACAAATTTTGTCTGCCCTACTGGCAGCAAATTCAGAAAACACAACAAATATATTAGGGCTTTATCATGGAACTTAAGCCACTAAGATTAAAGGTCACTTTTGTTGTAATTATGAATTAGTGAGCACACAGACTGTCTACTCAAGGTGTCAACATGTTCTGAAGAGACTGGTTAAGGAGGAACAAAGAGCTCAACCTCGTACACTGGCCTGTCTCTGGGCAGCTTCTCAGCCACAAGTAGAACCTGAGGTCAGCTGGATTTGTGCAGCAAGCACAAAGGGGAAAGGGATGGGAAAAAAGGGGACAAGGTAGAAGCATAAAGTGTAGCAAGAACGTTATTCTGGATTAATAAATGATGTGAAGTCATTTATAAGCAGGCTTGAATATTAATATATCCATGACCACTCAAAATTGTACTGAAAGAACCAATTATTTCAGGTAGTTTCAAAAGAAACCAGTTAATATTTTTAGCTGAAGAGAGATAGGTCTCTTTCACGCACTGAGCTACGTGCTATTGCTGTGTCAGCTTTAAAGTATTCAGTATGGGTTTTTGTATATAATGCTAATTCATTTCTATTTTTATAAATCCATGTATACATATACATGTATGTATATACATTTATATGCAAAATATGATTATTTTCACGTTCAGTTAAATTCACTGGCTGCTTGCAAGACTATAATACATCTTGGGTGTTCTGGCTGAACTGGTGCTGCCAAAATTGTCAGCAAAAAGACCGGAAAGTCTGATGAACCTTAAACTTTTCCCCAAACAACTGCTCGGTTGTTTCTTCAGGACACAGAAGAGACAGAAAGCCCAGGCAAGAGAGGAATGGTTAAAAACCAGGGAGGAAGGATAGAAATTGCTATCCAATGTGGATTTCACAAACTGCTGTGTTTCATTTTTTATAAACAATAATAATAATCCATGCTAGATAGCATTTTAGAAATTTTAAGCTTTATTAAAATATTGCTTATAAAAAAAGGTAACTCCAGCTTTTTTTCAGACCTTTGCTTATTTCCCAGTTTCTCACCTTCATTCTGCTTGGGATGGAACGGTTTTATACGTTCTACTTGAAATATTCTCAGAAACAGCTACGTGCCATTATTGAAAGGGGTTTTTCATAGTCAGATGGAGATCTTCACAGGCATACATCACCTAAGTGCTAACAGTTTTAACACAAACAAGACACAGAAACAGCACTTCAGTTTCTCAGGACTGGTGCCACTTCTGGACTTAAGCTAAAAGCTGGTTAGTTATTTTTATTTGGTACGCCATATAATTAAATAACTAAATATATATAGAAAAATAAATACTGGCACATATAATTCTTATTTCCCAACGTGGGTTTGTCAGACCCACAGGGACAGCGCTGTGGTTTGTGGGCTCTTCTCCTAGCAACTCCCATTAACGTCAGACTCACTTGAGCAGCTGCATCTTTGTACCCCACACCGAGAGTTTACTACTTGGTGCTGTTTTATGCGTAGATTTCATGTGCCTGTATCTCTGGTTATTTGCACCAGGTCTACTTCAATTTCCTGTCATCGTTCAACCACTTTTAATAACAGCTTTAGGCTATTGCATAGTGAATGTCTCTGCCTTAGTTGTTCGTATTTGGAAAAAAGATGAAGATACGGTCCCTGCCCCAAGGAACCTATAATTAAAACAAGACTAGCATTATAGAAACATATATACTAGCTGGCCTGTAACTGGATGGTCTGTTTCATTTTGTTTTGACGTACCACACAAGGCAGCGCTTAGCAGATGTTGGGAAATGAGCTCTCTGAGTTTTTCATATAAACATACAGCAGAGATGTAAGGGTATGAATTAATTTCATCAGCAAATGTGGGTATTAATGTCATCAGGCATTTTCTAATGTTTGTGCCTATTCTGTTGCACTTTGAATCCTCCTGGACAAAAGCATGGAAGCATCTTGAGAGCTACCTAATCTAATCAGATATCTATCTGGCAATGCTTTCTAGCACAGCACTGATGTTTTGTTCTCTTGTACTAAAGGTGCTGCCTTGTGCCAGCCTACCAACCAAAAGAAGTAAAAAAAGAAGAAGAAGAAAAAGGTGTAAACTCATCACAGACCCTCCATACATAAGGCTGATGAAAAAATAGAAGTCGAGGGGGAGGGGAACACCAGGGCCAAAGCCTATAACTTTTGAGAATAGAGCTGACAAAATGACACAAAGATTTCTTAAGTTCCACCTGTATTTGATGTCTTTTCTTTTGTGGCCTTCCTAGCTGAGTTTTCGTATATCTAAGTGTTTTTAAAGAAGATTTTAGAAGCATGTTTCCCCCACTCCAAATTGCAGAGGTTGTGCAATATTAATTTAGGGTGAGTGGGCACAGATGTTATCAAAATCACCCTCTCACCTGTCAACTCCACCCAAGTTTCCAGTGCTTGGATATTTTCTTCCACTGCTGTGTGGAATTTCTAATTTTAATAGTCTTTTTTTTTTTTCCCTTCAGATGTTTTATCCAGTTACAAAGCCTGCACGTGGCTTCCTCCTCTGACGAGCCAGCTGAGCCAAAACAGTACCTCACTAAATAGAAAAGCAGCCTCTAAAGGTACTGATGGGTGTAGAGTGAGAGAGTGGGGTCTTGGTCTGGGTGCTACGAGAGGACATCATAGCCATTGCAAATCAGTAAGGTTGAACAATATGACATGGCAGAGGAGAAGTGATGTGATGAGAAATGTGAGTGGAGTGAATGTGCAAAAGAGCAGGGGAAGTGAAAAGGCAGATGGATAGTGGATTTTTATTTTCCAGTGTTATCCCTGTATCAGTTAACTGTCTTTGTTGACTCTCTCAGTGCTCTACCTCTTCTTTATTTCAACATTATGGATGCTAGCATGCATCCATACAGCAAAACATACAGATGTGAATTCTCCCTGCACCTCCACAATGCTATATTAGCACAGCACTAAATCTGAAATAATGCACCCTGCCTCTCAACAGGAACTAATGGCTCAGGATCAACTTCATGCTAACAGCTTTTGAGCTGCCTGAACGTGAGTTTTATCTGCCCACAATGTACACTGTAGATCTATCCTCATTGGGTCTAATTTGGAAGAAGCATTAAAGCTTCCCTAATGCATGATTTTGCTTTTTGTTGGTATATGTCACAGTGCTTTACAAAGGAGGCGAGCATCACTGTCCATAGTTCTTGGGTTGCAAAACTGGGACAATCAAAATATAACACGCATCCTTAGTTTGTACAGTGACATGGTTCAGATCTCCATCACCCTATCAATTAGACCCCACTGTGTCTCTAAGTGGCAGTCACTGGAATGTTTAAATTCTGTTAATATTCAGTCTTTTATGGCTAATCACAGGTTTTAATATAAATGTCCCACAACTGTCAAATTGGAAATGCTGCAGTGTATTCATGCAGCCTGTGTTTTTCTAGTTTACTGCCTACAAAATCAACGTAGAATTATGTCAGTCTATTATCAAAATGTGTGGAATCTTAACCTCTGTAAGCTGAGGTAAGTAGTAACAGTGTCACTATAAAAATATCCATCATTTACTGCACATCACGTTTCCTGTCTTTACAGAGAAACTGAAAAGTTCCTAAAGATACTTCAGTATGTTTTGGTTACAAATTAATATTCCAATCAGTTTTGTTTAAGAAATTGATAGCACACAATGCACAATGTTGTACATTATTGTGTCTACATTTGTTGCTTAAACTGATTTTATTTTCTAAAAAGACAACAGAACATCACTCACACCTCAGAGCCCAGAATTTGAGCTTGATTCATTCTGGTTCTTCAGTGGCATTGTATCAGGGAGTCAATGGAATGTAAATGATTCAGGTTGTTTTAACACATGTAGGAATAATCCTGCTGGAAATAATCACAGTGTTTAAAAGAATGTGGTGCCATCGTGTGGACTATATCAAGAAGTGTTAAAAAAAAAAAAAAAAGTTGCAAAAGAAAAAAGAAAAGTGATATAAATCTGAAAAATCTGTGGTTTTAAAATTGTATTAGATTAAAATCGTGTTAGAGCATCAGGAATTGTTGATTCAATCCTGTTCATTTTCCAGCAGTGCAGGTAGTCCTTTCCCCTTTCTCATGATAGAGTGTGGAACAAATTCAACCACCTAATTTCTTTCCACCAATCTTTAGATGTCAAAGCATCACATGATAGCTTGCATAAGTTTGGTCTTTACTGTTTTGGAAAATGTATGCTCACTCTTTTCAAAACTGTGACCCTGATTTGGGTTAGGAAGCATTGGTTAAAAACGCCCAGAAGGCCAGTAATTGAGTGCAATTCAATTCAATATGTTCTAACTTCTTTTGCCACCAGGGAATGTGCAAGTAGGAAAATGAGCTTTTCTTGATTCATCAGCTTTTTGATGTTGTGCATGAATGTGTATAAGTAATCCTTTTGCCATCCACATATGATGAATTAATGAGATTATATTAAATTTTTTATGGCAGGTTTCCATATCTCTTTTTAAAATAAACATTTCAAATGCTAAAATGTGAAAATCAGAAAAATAAGAATCAGAATCTAAGCAATCTCTGTCAGTTGGAATCTGGGATTTTTACGTTGTCTCTTCATGAAACTCGTTCTTTCCTTTTCCTCCTGGCTGAGGTTCAGGTCTATGGAGCATTGTACCACCCTCGTCACCAGGATTTCCTGTAACTATTACCCAGTAATTCTTGTCTTCTTCAACTCGATGGGAGTCCAGGTAAGTGTGACAAATTACTTCATATTCCCTTCCAAAATAAGACCTGCAAAGTCAAAGAAAAGGGCGGGGAGGCAGGGTGTAGAATGAGTTTGTGTGCATTCAGCAAGCCTGCATTAGCTGTAAGATGTTGAAGGTTTGCTCATGAAGATGACTCTGGCTACTTAAAAACCATGGCAACCTTTCAGCCTTAGAGAACTTTTTCATCCTCAAAAAACTGATACAAAGTTCACAGTAATATTTAACCTGAAATGTAATGAGAAGCAAATGGTGTACTCCTTAATGATACTTAATCGACATTATTTCAGTACATGCATGTTAAGTCAAATTGTTGAATTAACATTAATTTGTTATGGGATTCATATGGATATAAGAAATATAGTTTTGTGTGGTGCGTCTCTATTGAGTTCTTCACATACCAATTTTTCCTTAAAATATATATATACATAAATATATATATATACATATAATTGTTCAGGATATTCAAAGGGAGAACTACCAAGACTACAGAAGCCTGGGAGCATGATGTGATAATATAAAGGGAAAAAAAAAGGAAAGAAAAAAGTAAGACAGAGATGTTTGCTTGCAGCATCACAACAGAACACAAGAATTTAAAGAGGGAAAAGAAGAATGTGCATCCTGCATTCTTTGCCATTTCCTCAGTGTGCTCCTGAAGCAATTATTTTACTTTTAATCAGTGATTCTGGATGCCCTGAGCTGTTATCTCATTAAGCATATCACTGCCAGCTATAAATTATTCTCACCTTGTCCAAAAATTCCTTGGAACAGCTAAACTTCTATTAGTATGGCAATGAGTAATAATCAGTTTAGAGTTTGCCTGGGAAAAAGAAAAGGAAACACAAACAAAACAAAATACATGCACACACACAAAAATACACTTGATAGATATTTTAAACTAACAACACTTATTTAAGGTGAATGCTTTAATTAGTACTGAATAGAAGTACGCATGGCTGTATATCAGTCTCAGAGTGCTGCAGATTGATAGTGAGATATTTTGTACTGTCAGTTCTCAGAATGATTATATCCATGATATTTTGTTATTTACCCAGCACTTCAGGAAGCCTGCTTGTTATGTGGAATAGGAAAATACTGCAGCTGCTTCAACTTAAAGAAACATATTTGCAAAAGCACCCATTTTTTCCAATGCCTTGATTCACAGAATCATAAGGGTTGGAAAGGACCTCTGGAAATCATCCAGTTTAACCCTCCTGATAAAGCAGGTTCCCTGCAGTAGGTTACAAGTAGGTTAGAGGATCAGTTCCCTCTGTGTGAAGCCAAGTTATTCCCAGATACTGATACATTAAGCAGCATACTCCCACCTGCTTCTGCAGGTAGATGGATGTAAAAGATGTCTAATGGAAAAAAAGAATGAATTTAACCAGTGTTTGCAGCACAGTTATGATGTTTACAATGGAAATAAATGATAGGGGAAGGAATGTGAACACCATAGTCTTCAAATGTAAAAGATAAAGCTTGATACATGGTTCTGTTTCAGCCTACTTCGACAATTAAATACTCAATACTTTTTATTTCCATTTTAATGACTTACAGGAATGGGAAATCCTTCATATTCAAGACGCAGTTGTGGATCCAAGAAGGTTGCTTGCCAGCACGTCAAATAGGAAAGCTCATCTGTCAAAAATACTTGCTGAAGGTAAGATTTTTTGGCAAACCTCATAAATGACTTATGGTCACTTGCTAGATATAACTGTAGATTGAAATATACATGAAGGATGCATAAATATAGAAGGAAAAAGACATGTAATTTAAAAAAGAAAAACCAGCACAAAAAATTCCCTTTGCTTCTGACCAGTCTGCCAAGCTACAGCTACGCATTTCAAAACACTACAATAGGTTCTAAAATGTCAATAAATTCATGAAGTAGACCAGTGAATATTAACTGAAAATTGATTTTATGTTCCAAAGACTCCTTCAGATCCAAGTGACAGTTGAGAGGGAAAATGTTATCATAGTTGATGTGATTTATTTTGAGCATCAAAATAAATTTCTGATGCTTTCCTTCTGACTTGCAAAGGGAAACAACATTCACATTTAATAGAAATCTCCCCCTGATTTGTTTCTTCATACACAGACTGTATTTTTTCTTCACAAGAAACGAAATTTTCTTCTTGGATTTTTTTTCTTTTTCCTTGTTTAAAATCTGCATTACCTATCATTCTGGGTCACTGTCCCCTTGGACTGCACAACTGATCTCAGACAAGTCCCATAAACTTTCCAAATATATATTATATATTTGGATTTGCAGATGATTCTGAATCTGTTCTGTAAAGCTAAGACACTGCACCACTGTGCAATTTGAAATATATAGTACCTAAATGCACACTATCAGTACATGCCATCAATTGCCATTTGCAACTTTGTTCCCTTACCATTGGATCAGAAAACCCTCCTGTTGTTCCAAGACCAAACTTTTGCCCAAATTTAACAGGTTCACCCACTGATTCTCCATCAACGCTGTTAAAAATGTAAAGAGAACAACAAGAAATTCAAATATATCAGATTTTCTAGAATTTTAAGTTCTTGTTTACTGAAATGATATTTCACAAATTACTTTTCTGAATACACTTAATTATAAGCACCTGAAAAATCAGGGACTGAAAGCAGAACACTGCCTGTTGCTTAACATCAGACGGTGTTGATCACATGTTGATATTTAGTAATCAGGTTTATCACATCAATGTACATGCTGATATATCTGTATTTTCAGAACAATTCTTGTATTTTAAATTAAAGGATCACTGAATTAAATGCCAGGCTGTTCTAAGTACATTCAGAGTAACTTACATAGCTGATAAAACCTGTGGTTGGTTAATGAGAGCCCTGGAAGTGTTTGGTGTCAGTGATTCAAGGATCAGACAGATGCTGAGCAAAAATACTGTGGTTGCATTTCTAGAAGACCTAAATTGGCTTCAAAATTGTTTACTGTGTCTAACCCAAAGCATTTTGATCAGTCAGGATTAGTTTGTACACTTGTGCACTGTTGTTATACTTAAATACATGCACTAAGGAAGAGCCTTCCACTGTTGAGCAGGGACTTGTTCTGTTACTTCTCCCACAAGCAGCTGGAGTTAAATGTGTCCTTGAGAGACAACACTCTGTTTGATGGAGAGGGCTTTTCTAGGACAACTGAAGCACTGTCCACTGTGACTCAAATTTCTGCTTCAGAGACATTAATTGCACAAGAACAAATAGTATTACTGATATTCTGCTTTCACACCAGTTCTGTGCTGATTTAAACTTCCTTGAAGTTATTCACAGTAATATGCATAGCATATTACTACATAATACTTAGTAATACTTAGTAGTACTCAATACTACATTACTACATAAGACTTAGAGTCTTTCTTAAATAATTTAATCTTACTCAAACTCTTTTGTATTTTAGCAAAATTCATTGCACATCTCTCAGAATAAGATACCAAAAGCTAACGTCACTGAAAACCTATGAAACTATGGAAAAGAATCATAGAATGGCTTGGGTTGGAAGGGACCTCAAGGATCATCAAGCTTTAACCTCCACACCGCAGGCAGGGCTGCCAACCTCCATATCTAAAACCAGACCAGGCTGCCCAGGGCCCCATCCAACCTGGCCTTGGACCACAACCTCCGTGGGCAGCCTGTTCCAGCACCTCACCGCTCTCATATGAAGAACGAAGTTACCGTACCTTAAAATACAGAACGTGTTCCTTCCCACAGGGCTGGTGGTGGTGATGGCACTCAGTGTGCAGGGTGCATGCAGAGCCACAGCCGAATAGATGGACACCTCCTCCAGGTTAACTGCCAGCGTCAGCTCACCGTGTGCCTCAACATCACGCTGCACTGAGGGCTCCTTGCCCGGGCTCAGGAGCATCACCGTGTCTCCAAAGCAAACGAATCCATCCTTAGACACCGACAGCTGCACCTAAGCCAAAACACACCGCATTTTGTACTGAGTTATCCGAATTTGGCATCAGGGGTGCTTTAGATATCAAATGCTAGCGTTGGGAATGCTGACAAACAGCTTCTGCTGTTCCCTGCTGGGTCGCGAAGGACTGACGAAACCTTTAAAAATGACCTTCTTTAAAAGGTTATCCTTCAGTCTGTTGATTTTCTGCGTTAGAAGTTCTCCCCGTTCTCTCTTCTGCATGAAGTCCCTCAGGCGCTCCTGTTTGAGAAGAGGGAACACGGCGTTAGCCGGCCCTGCAACGTCGGCTTACAACAGAACTAGGGGAAGCTCCACGAGGAGAAGAGGCAGGCGAGGCTCCCGGAGGTTGGAGCGGAGCCCCGCTGCTCGCCCACCTCCTCCAGGCACGCCTCCTCCTTCCAGTTGCCCATGAGCACCCCGGGCCGGTAGGCAGCCATGATGGCGGGCGCTGCGGGGCCGCACGGCGTCCTCTCTCACCATGGCGACCAGTCCGGCCGCCAATTGCGCGCTGGAGGGGCAGAGACAGCCAATCAGCGGAGAAAACGTAAGAAGGGGGCGGGACCCAAGAGCTGCAATTGGTGCTGAAGCGAGCCTGGAGATCCCAGTGCCGCCTTGGGCAGCGCGGCCCTTAGGTTTGGTACCTCTAAGAATTGCTGAAAGTGATGCTCGTGGGTTGCAACGAAAGCAGTGTTTCCTACTTATTTCCCTGGAAACTGCAACAGACACAAAGAGCACAATAACATTATTCGGTAGAGCAAATTCTCAGCTACAAAGCGCTGCTTTGTCACATAGGCACCACCATTAGCTATGTATTTTCACCAGCGATGAACCAGAGCCTGCGTGCAGAGCCTGTAACAAATCTGCTCCAGCAGAGGTGTCCCGCTCTTACTGACAGCACTGCTGAAATGCAACACCACTTCCTCGCTGTGCTTACATCCACTGGTTGGTGTCTACAAACATTCAGCAGGCATCAGTGAATGTCAGTGAGGCATCAGTGAATGTCAGTGAGGCATCAGTGAATGTCAGTGAGGCATCAGTGAATGTCAGTGAGGCATCAGTGAATGTCAGTGAGGCATCAGTGAATGTCAGTGGCTGCAATTATTTCTGCATGGAGGAGGAATTCAGTGCTACCCCTCTGCTCCATCCGCACTTCCTTGTCAGACTCCATTTTGTCACACGGCCCCTCTGTTGCTATCTGTCCCACAGCAACAGCATGGAGTGGGATATTGGTGAGAAGGTTCAGCCTCTACTGCCAGCCCTCTGACGTTATAGGCCAACACTACAAGACAGGAAGCATTACTGCATGCTCATGTGTACATACTTTGATTCCCTTATGTTTTAATGACTAATGAGTGATGAAGCTGGCACACAGTCTCACAGCAGGCTTTATTTATAACCACATGAACTTCTGCAGCCTGTATTGGTCAAGCAGGTGCGTTAGGCTAACACAAGCACGGAGCCAACACTGAAGCTCAGGTGAATGTGGTGAATGCATTGAGTGAACTTTGGTTACATATGGTCTGATTTTTGGGTGGTCCTGTGTGGAACCAGGAGTTGGACTCGATGATCCTTAATGTGACCCTTCCAATCTGGGGTATTCTATGATTCTGTTCTTCTATGTGAATATAGTATGGGGTTACTCTCCAGACAGCTTAACCCAATGATTTTCAGTGATGGTGCAGATCCTTGCTGAGGACACTTCATCCTCTAATGGCTGCTCTTGCATCTTACTGTTTTCAAAGCCGGCCGACTTAAAAAGCTTAAGAGAAAACATGTTTTTCATAAGAAGCCACGATGCTAGTTCTGCCATCAATTTGCATGAAAGCAGGCTGACTTTTCTTCTTTTCTTTTTTCTTTTTTTTAATCTTTCTTTTTTTCTTTTTTTCTTTTTTCTTTTTTTCCCTTCTGTTTGTTTTCTTCTCACCACAAAAGCTTTTCAGCGTATCCCAGAGCCATTGAGAGGACTAAATAAATCCATATTCGCTCCCATAGCACCACTCCGTGGTCAGCTCTGGTAAGTGAGGTTTTCCTGCACCCGATTTGGAAGCGGTGCTAGAACTGCTCGGATGGAATAGGGAACTTTGTTCATCCTGGCCAAATATGGAAATCCAACAAGTTTTTGGAGAAAAGTGTAATTAATTTCCTATGTTACCGGTAGTTTCTGCTTAGTGCTCAAACTTACTTTCATGCTTTTCACAGACAGGCAGTTTTGATTGGGGTTTGGTATCCTGGCATGCAAATGTTAATGTGGGCCTATCGAAATTTAGTTCAAAGCAGCAAAATCCTAGAATCAGAGAATGGTTTGGATGGGAAGGGACTTTTAATGGTGATCTAGTTCAAACCTACTGACATAAGCAAGGATGTCATTCTCTAGTTCAGGTTGTTCCCAAAATATTTTAAATTAAACGCTTTACCTTGCTTATCTCAGTATCTAAAGAGTTTATCTTCTTTGTGTTTATATTTTTTGTTTGTTCATTTGTTTCAAAGCTAATCCTCTTTTAAGTCGATATTCAATAATAAATCATAACCAAAGAGCTACATGCTATACTGAGCCATGTTACTAAGAACATGTGCTCTGGGGCCCTGGGCAGCCTGGTTTAGCATTAAACGTGGAGGTTGGTGGCCCTGCATGTGGCAGGGGGGTTGGAGATTCGTGATCCTTGAGGTCCCTTCCATCCCTGGCCATTCTGTGATTCTGTGTGATTCTGTGATTCTGGAAATGTGGTTAATATATGGGCTGCACTGCCTGCTTCAATAGATTTGGAGCCTTATCTTGTGGATCGGTCTGTACTTATTTACTTAGATCTGTATGCAATTGTTACAGAAGTGTATGTGTTCAAAATAGAATTGTTCACAGAAATTTATTCATGCGTGTGTAGTAGGATGATGCAGTCACTATCCTTGTTACTGAAAATGGTTTCATTTCCCATTGCCTAGTATTCCATGAAAAGAAACAAAAGGAGGTTTCCTTACACATGTATGTAAGTAAGTTGAATATTTTTCCTGCTGGGAAGTTTACAGGTCAATTTAGCTTTGGTCAATTTCTTTTTCATCACATTGAATCTACATTTGCTCCTAACAATTATTGGCTTTATTAAGTGGAATTGTTTCATGTTTTGTTTGCTAACTTATGCCACTGTACCAACCGACCAGACTTAAAAGTATGTTTTAATTACTGAAAACATTTTTTCTTTTTTTCTTTTTTTTTTTTTTTCTTTGATAATAATTTTAGTGTAATGGAGTCTCCTCTCATCTTCCCTTTCCCTTCATCGAAGAGAAATGAATGGTTGAGAAGACCTAAAATATCTATCTAGACCATAAGTTTACATAAAAGTATGAACAGTTTCAATTTTTAATTGCTTCAAAATTGTCAGTAATGTGGGACAGAGCATGTTATAAATAATTTGACATATGCATGCATTAGTATATGTCAATAATACAAATTAAAATAGGTTAGTCAAATCTGGCAGAAAGAACAAGACGTGAACATTAGATAAGTCTGAGAACAGGGCAGGCCATCTATATTTAGAGGAATCAACAGAACATTAAGTAGGTCTGTGAGCTCTTGCAACACGTGTTTTCAGGATGAAAACATGATTTTTGTTTGCATTACAGCTGTTGGGCAATTTCTGAAATTCTGTTCATACTGACAAACATTCGAGGAATGTTTAATCATGTGTAGGTTGGATGAGAATATTTTTAATCCTGTCCTTTTTGGCCTTGGGAGAATATCTATGTTTTGTCTTGTTTTGCTGTCTTTAGTTTTTCCTTTCAGTGTTAAGAAGGAGCCTAATTTGATTAATGATACAGAATAAATAGCACTACACAGGAGTAAAACATGTTCGTCAGGACAATGTCTCCTTTCACTTTGTTACTTCGCACCAGCATTATTCTGGCACATGCTAAAAATCAGAGTGTAGCTATCATTTCTACTTACTGTTATGAGCTTTTTGGCTGTTAAGATGATTAATCAGCTTGTTATTAATATAACTCCAGTTCCTTATTCTCATCTATTCCCCAAGCACTCATCCATTCACAGCACAAAAAGCATTAAGTATTTTATGTGCAAAGATTTAAGGACTGTTGTTCTGCCAGATGTGTGTTCTGCTGTCTCCCATTCTGGCTGTGAATTTCCACACAAAGTTTTCCTGTAGTATTTGTTGCTGAGGAGCAGTAATTTCTGAAATGCAGTTGTGCATTAAGCAGACCTCTTGGTCTACTTCCAACAAAAAAGGGGTACAGGATGCTTATGTGTTGTACTGGCAAAAAGTATGCTGATTTGGAAACTTTCCCAATATCAGAGCTGGCTGAAGATGTCCATAATTGCTATGATTTCTTTCCTGGTGCTTTATAACCAAAAGATGCTCCAGGAGAGAGAGAAATGTGCCCAACACAGTCAAACACTTGCCAGTTAAAGTTTGGATTGTTGTCCACATCTCTGTGGTAGATTCATTCTTTTATATCTGCAATTTAGACCTTTTCAGAACATGTCCTGTTGAGAAATTGTTGTAAAAATGAATGTTTTCTCTTCCAATTGAGCTGTTTCATCAGAATGAAAAAATGTTGTAATCTCAGGAGCAGTAAATTATTATAAGAATACAGAAATATTAAAGTCGGCCCTCCAGGAGCAATAATTATTTTGCAAAGAATTCCATATTAATTCTGAAGGAGCTAGAATACTTCCATCAGCTAGAAATAGCTTAGCTGATGACTACTGTTTATCAGCCCCTGCAAAAACACCCCTAACAAAGCTATGTTCCTTCCTGTGTTTATCCACACAGCTGTGCATTAGGTATGTCTGCCTCAGGCAATTTAATAATTCTCATTTTTCTAGTTGAATTATTGAATTATCTACATGAATTATTTGCCCAAGGTTCGTGACCAGAGCAATGAGAGTGGCCATGCTATTGGCCAGGCTGGGATTTGGACTCAGCGGTTCCTTGAGATCCTTTCCAACCCTTGTGATTCTGTGGAAGGTTTGTATTTAATTTGCAGCCTTAATTTGCATGGTAAGCTCCCAGCTGGCTGCTTTTAAGTACTGTTTACTATGGATCTCCTTGAAGAGAGTTTTGGTAAGTGATGTTCCACCCTACTTCCAATGTATTGAGTGCATTGCACTTACTGAACTACAAAGTTCTGTCATCACCCCCAGTTACTGACACAAAATCATTGTGGTGAGGTGTGGCCGTATTTATAAAGGCTGGAAATCAGGTCATTGTCTCTCTTGTTTACTGATCTGTTTAAACTTTGGTTTCCATGAGTACCCATGCTTGAGATTTTAAAATTTGCTTTTTGTTAGTTTGTTAGGGTTCTTTTTTTTCTTTCTTTCTTTCTTTCTTTCTTTCTTTCTTTTTTTTTTTTTTTCCCTCATACAAAAAGCAATAGCATGCCTGTCTGTAAAAAAAAAAATGAACTCCAAACTCCATAACTTCAGCTGTCTT